TATAAAGTAGTTTGCCTAGGGGTAGGAGTAGGGCTAGGAGGGAATAGGGAGTCATCTTGTTAAGTAACAAGAGCCAACATAAACTCAGCAGTCTTTTTTTTTTCCTTTAAATTTGCTGTATTTATCGCTTCTATTTGCCCCAAGTTGAGGGTGTTAGATTTTACAACCTATCCGTGGGCAAGTGGCAACAAAGAAAACTTAAAATAACAGGTAAAATCTCATTTGATTTCATGGGGCAACTGGCAACAAAGAAAACTTAAAATAACAGGTAAAATCTCATTTGATTTCATGGGTACTCAAATTATTATTTTAGAATTTTCAAACAGTATAAAACATTATATTCTCAGTTGCTAGAATGACAAGCTACCTCTTAAATATCTTCTTTATTAAATTAGTAAGTAAAATTGGCTAGGCATGGTGGCTCATGCCTGTAACCTAGCACTCTGGGAGGCCAAGGCAGGATTGCTTGAGCTCAGGAGTTGGAGACCAGTCTGAGCAAGAGCAAGACCCCATTTCTACTATAAATTAAAAAGAAATTAGCCAAACAACTAAAACTAGAAAAAAAAATTAGCCGGGCATGGTGGCGCATGCCTGTAGTTCCAGCTACCCGGGAGGCTGAGGCAGAAGGATCCCTTGAGCCAAGGTGTTTGAGGTTGCTGTTAGCTAGGCTGACGCCACAGCACTCTAGCCTGGGCAACAGAGTGAGACTCCGTCTCTAAATAAATAAGTCAGTAATAAGTAAAATTAAGTACTCTTATGGAAGTATTCTTATGAAATACGGGGAAAAGTACCATGCACATCTTTCTTTTCTCCTTCCTACATTTATTGATTCCTAGGATACTCCAGGAATTTACTCTTTTCTGTGTGACTGTTAGTGTATAAATTTGGAGTTAAAATAGGGTTGTTGCGAGTGATTGATTAGTACACTTGCTATAAAGGCAAGGAAAAAAACCACATTTGGATTACATGATTACATGATATACAGGTCAGAGTTATTCTCATGTCTGATTCGTAACAGAATCCACCTTCAAAATAATATACAGGCAATAAATTCTATTTATGTAACTGAAAGATTTATGCTACTTATGTTCATAACTTCTCTAATCATGTTAAAAAGATCATAAAGGCAGAATCTGAACTGATTATATACACTTGAGAGTAGTAAAGATGACTATTTCACATGCCTAGCTAGCAAAGATAGTCAATTAGGCTAGTATTTGGGTTTCTACGTTTTCAGATAAATGATTAAAATAATAATTATCTGTTAAGCAGTTCATCATCCAGAAGGCCCCAAAGTTTCTGAAGATTAAAGACTCTAGCTTAACAAAAACTTGGTCAGATCAACAAATGATTTTCTGCCATTCAACACCATATTGGATGTGTGTTCACTTAATGTACTTAATTCTTCATGAGTACCTTGACCCAAATTCTGGAATATGAACTTCAGTGGATATTGTGGGTAAAACTGTGTCCCCCCAAAAGATACACTGAAATCTTAACCCCTGCTTCCAATTAATGTGCCCTTATTTGGAAACAGGGTCTTTGCAGATGTAATCAAGTTAAGATGAGGTCACATTAGATTAGGGAGGGCTCTAAATCAAAAGATGGAGATTGGCTGAGGTGGCTCACACCTGTAATCCTAGCACTTTGGAGGCTGAGCCGGAAGGATCATTTGAGGCTAGGAGTTTGGTACAAGCCTTATAGCAACATAGTGAGACCCCTTTCTCTATGAAAAAAAAATAATACTAATAAGCTGGGTGTGGTGACTTACGCCTGTAGTCCCAGCTACTCAGGAGGCTGAGGCAGAAGGATCACTTGAGCCCAAGAGGCAGAAGTTTGAAGGTGCAGTGAGCTATGATGACACGCCACTGCACTCCAGCCTGGGCAACAGAGCAAGACTCTCTCAAAATTTCTGTTGTTTTAAACCACTAAGCTTGTGGTACTTTGTTGCAGCAGCTCAGTACTAGGTTGCAGCAGCAGAAACTCACACAGAGGGTAAAAACACAAGGTATTAACAATGTCAATATGGCTTTCTGGTTCTTTAATCTTTTGGACAAATCCCGATTCACTGTTGCCTTTTCTTCTATTCCTTCCAAAGCTTGAATATAGATATTTCCCAAAGATTAGCCCCTTGCGACTAAGCTTATATATTTTCCTACTAAGATTGAATTTGCCACTGCTATCTGGGAAAAGTCTCAAATTGGTAATCTCACCAATCCTGCCTTTTTGACCACTTTGTGGTATGACATTCCTTGGTCACTGTGCAAGCATAATTTACACAAAATTGACCTTGCTGAATTACATTTATTTATTTATTTATTTGAGACAGAGTCTCACTCTGTTGCCCCAGCTAGAGTGCTGTGGCATTAGCCTAGCTCACAGCAACCTCAAACTCCTGGGCTCAAGCAATCCTCCTGCCTCAGCCTCCCGAGTAGTTGGGACTACAGGCATGCGTCACCAAGCCCAGCTAATTTTTTTTATATATTTTTAGTTGGCCAATTAATTTCTATTTTTAGCAGATCTTGCTCTTGCTCAGGCTGGTCTCGAACTCCTGACCTGGAACGATCCTCTTGCCTCAGCCTCCCAGATTGCCAGGATTACAGGCGTGAGCCACCGCGCCTGGCCGCTGAATTACTTTTAAGACTGAGTTGAGCCAGGCATGGTGAGTCATGCCTATAAATCCCAGCACTTTGGGAGGTGAAAGCAGGATTGCTTGAGACCAATTTGGGCACTATAGCAAGATCCTATCTCTAGAAAAAAGTAAAAAAGATTAGCTGGATGTGATAGCACCTGTCTGTAGGCCTACTTACTTGAGAGGCTGAGGCAGGAGGATCACCTGAGCCCTGGATTTCAAGGCTGCAGTAAGCTATGATCATGGTACTGCACTCTAGCCTGTGTAATAGAGAGAGACCCTGTCCCTGTAAAAAAAAAAATTTACCTCACATTTCTCAAAATCTGGATTCCTACCTTCTTCTACTAATTTTCATACTGCAGTTACTGCATTTAATATTAATATATGCTAAAAGAGCTATTCCATTATATGGTTATCACATTTTTTTGTACCATTAAGAAACAAAAATATAACTAAATGATTATAAAATGTAATGTAACATAGCAGTCCCCAACATTTTGGCACCAGGGACCAGTTTCATGGGAGACAATTTTTCCATGGATGGGGGTGGGGGGTTCAGGAGGAGGCAGAGCTCCAGCAGTGGTGCTGGTGATGGGGACCAGCTATAAATACACCTGCTTGCCTGCCGCTCACCTCCTACCGTGCTGCCCTCTGTTCCTAAGTTTCACGGAAGACGATTTTTCCACGAGGTGGGTGGGGTGGGGAGAGGTGGAACTCTGCAGCTCTGTCCCTAACAGGCCACGGACCAGTATTGGTCTGAGGCCCAGTGGCTGGGGACTACAGATGTAAGACACATCTGGATTCAGAGATGATAAGATATGAAAAATTATGACTTAGAATCAATAGGATATAATCAAAAGTATTACCACAATTTCCTAGTCATCAGAGTACTCTGACCTCTCCTATTCCTTCAATCATCAGGTTTTTTTTTTTTCAAAGTCTCACAGTATCTATTTCCTTTATATACAGTTTTAGTCTTCATTCATACCAAGATAACTACTATAACTGGTTTTTTAAGACTGTCTCTCCTCAACGAAATTCCCTGCATACCAATACCACACTATTTTCCTAAAATATCTACATGTTTTATTTTTCATTCCCTTTAAGGTAGACCCTTAATACCATGAGATAAAATCCAAGCTTACATGGCCTAGCTGTGGCACACACTGCTAGTTGCATATCCAATCTACATTCTGCTCTGATTTTGTTTGAGGCAGTTTGCACCAAACTAATATATAGTATCTTCCCAGATTCCCTTGCAGCTAAGAACGATCATGTGGCATAGTCTGGCAAAAGTTTTTCAGGGATTTCTGAGAACACTTGTGCTTTCTTGATATAAGCACTGTCCCTTTTTATAACACAAAGTTAAAGATGAAGTGAGCATCTTGTAACCATGAAGCAATTAAGTATAAATGGGTAAAATGCAACTGACAAAACCTAAAGATGGTAGATTAAAAATATACAAGGGGCCTAGGTCACCAATTACAGTGTAGATCCACTATACTAGCTCTGGACTTCCTATTTCTGAATAACTTTACATGATAAAAATAAAATCCTTTTTGGTCAAGCCACTGCAGGAGGGACTCTCTTATATGCAGTTAAATGCAACCCTAAAGGAAACTAGCATTCAAGTCTTGTCACAGCCTGCTCTCAACCACACCTTTTTTGTCTTACCTCCCATTAATCCCCACATTTTCAGGCATCTGTGTTTATTCACATCATTTTATACTGAATTCACTGCTTACCAAACACACAGTCTTCTTCCACACTTTTGTGCTTGCATACATGCTCTGTGCTTTTATACATTTTCATAGAAATGTCATTCCTTTGCTTAGGCAAACTCTTACTTACCGCATTAAGATCCAGCTCAACTATGTAGCATTCACTTGCTTATTCCTTTGTTGTACCCATAATACTTTCTTCATTCCTCTAGCCTAGCACCTTAATAGCTCATTGTAATCACTTATTTACATATCTACTTCCCCTATTAGACTATTAACTCCTTCTTTGCAGTGACTATGCGTTTTTCTTTACATATCACCAATGTTTGGCACATGGTTAAGTTTCAAATGAGTATTTGAATAAGGAATAAAACATTAACTGGATTTTTTTGCGTTGAAAGTTAATTCAGAATTCTTATCTCAGACTTTGTCCCATCAGATATCGTCCAAATATTTTTACCTTCCCCAATAGTAACTTGTAAAAAAAAACCAAAACTGTAGTGCTAATAGCATCTTCAAAAATCCAGTTATCATGTTTTATTCTTCTATTTTCTACAGGATTGAGCACAAAACCTCTTATCTAATAGGAACTTCAAAATGTTTGAATTAACTTTATACCATCATGAAAAACAAAGAAGACTTTATACCTATAGAGGAAGACTGTGGACTAATCAGAAGGTCCTCTTGGACTTGTTCACTTCCTGGCACTGTCTGCTGATCGCTCAGGGAACTCTGAGATGCACTGACAGGCTGGGACACTTCCTCATGGACCTCCTCATCACTTAACCTTTCTACTTTGACCCGGACATCTTCTTCTGTACTCAGAGGCAAGGTAGTTTTTGTGCTTTCACAAGTCACATAATCAGCAATTCTTCTACCTGTCTCAGACGGGCCAGGTAATTCTAAAGTCCGGGTATTTTCTGCCTGCTTAACCTTCTCAGGTTGAATCCTTCGATCAATTCCAAAAGGAAAAGTCCAGGGAAAAGCTAAAGAAGAGTCAACTGGCTGATTTCTATTTTCTGAGTAGGAAGCTGAAGAATTCAATACCTGGGGTGAACCTGTTTGTGTGCTACACTTTACAGGACTTTCAGGAGACATAACAATGTAGCTTTTGCGCTTTCTCCGTGATTCTCGGCAGACAGGAATGGTTCTTTCTACCACACTGCACTCTGAAGACACTGGAGAAATGCTTCCATCTCGAGAAGTAAAATTGCAGTTAGAATTATTTTCTTGTCCAGCATCTAGACCCTTTTCTGGTTGGCTGTTGGGTGTATTCCATAAAATGCTTGATTTCATAAATTCTGAGCAGGTGCTAGCAACACTAAACATTTGCATATAGCTGGCTGCAGCGAGAACATCAATAATATTTTCTGTGTTAATGGACAAAGTGGCCGTGTAAGCATATTCTAGAAGGGGTATAAAGCCAGTCACGGTAACATGATGCAGATCCAACACATTCTTGTTCTCATCCTCTGCTTGGCCTACAAGTTTGGTGCGAAAGAAATCACTGCAAGCTGCTAGTACTACTTTATGTGCCCTGAAGATTTTGTCCTGGACACGAATAGTGATATCACAAAAATGTCCATCATTTCGCAGCATATTTAGCTTTCCAAGCATTTCCTGGCTGTGAGAAGAGGAGCTATGAGTAAATGTTTTCACACCCATCTTTTCCTTCCTCTTCTACAGATGCTCTTCAAGGATGCAAATGAATCAGAAATGTCCTAAAAAATATATAAAATAAAGCATTAATTGATGGTTTAATAGTTTAACTAGGAGATTTAGATCATTTTCATGTGGCCAGTGTGCTAAATAAAAAAGAAAGATGGCAGTGAGAAACTTCAAGGTAGGGAATGTATTAAAATATATTCTCCCTACCTGCCTTCCAAATTGTTCAGTCAGTGGAGTCAGTGAATGGTTTATGAGCTGCAGGGCTGCAACAGTTTGTAAGTAACAATAATTGTAGAGTGCTTTATATGTGCCAGACAGTATTCTAAATGCTTCACATTTTAATTGATTGATTGTCATGGTATCTTTGTCAGTAGGTACATATTATTCCTGTTTCTAAATGCAAGCATGCAGTGGGTAATGCCAGTTTAAACACTAAACCATCCATTACATAATTGTCCCTTTGAATGTTCTATGCAGGTAAATGTACAGGGGAAAAGACAGACAGGGAAAGGAAAAAGGGGGGGAAGTGGAAAAGAAAAAGAAAGAGATTTTTAAGATGAATAAAAAAGGTCACTGACTATTCTAATTTGAGAAGATAAAATGCTCATGCTGGGACTATTCCCCATCTGACATCACAATAGAAAGGATAAAAAGTATAAATTCCTGTGCTAAGGCAGCCAGGTAAAGGCATTGAAATAATCATGTTGACCACAGTGAGTGGTAATAGTTCGAATATAAACTTGCTCCATATATCCTTCCTGAACAGAACTAATCACAAGACACTAGACAGCTAGAACTGGTCTACTATGCAAACCATCATTTAACATATTTGCTGATCTCTCTCATAGGAATGAGAGGAAAAGGAAGAAAATATGAGTGCTATATACAAAGTGTGTTGTTCATTTGTTCCATCCCAAGAAACTGGCTTCTGCTTTTGAAGCCTGGCCTTCAAGAGTGCTTACTCTGACTGGATCATGTGGCTGAGGGAGGAAACATGCCTTTAGAGCAAGTGACATGGTCATAATCCAGGGACCATCTGCATGAACAAAGGTGTGAGGGCAAGAAATTAAACAGTGATTTAGAGAACATGTGCCTCAGAATGTTAACATGAAACCACTTCAGTCTTGGAATGGGTGAAAGCCCCAGCAACAGATGCTGTACTACATTCCCAAGTGAGGGGCAAGGCCACCTATTCAAGGGAGTAGTGGACAACTATTTTTCAACCTTGAGTTATATCCACCTTCGATGTTCAAAGATAAAGATTTTTATCTTTATCTCAAAAATCTAAAAGGATTTTTGCTGAGAATAATCAGTGTGTTGTAAGTTCCAAACCCCATCCTAGTCTCTCCTACTCCCCTGCAACGGAAGAGGCTTTGAGGCCTGTTTTGCCCTTTGTCTCAGGTCTATGGAAAATGTGACATACTTGGAAAAACTCTAAAGGACACAAATCTGATTTAAACATTGCCCAAGACTAAGGCAACGTCATATAAAAACAATACAGTGGAGTGGTTGAAGGCATAGACTTCTGGAGCCATAAAGCTGGGCCTGCATCCTGGTTCTGTCATTTATACCTTTGTGACCTTAGGCAAGTCACTAAACTCTCTGTATCTTAATTTCTTCAGCAGTAAAATAATAACAATAGAATCTAATACCTCATAGAGTTCTGAGGATTAGATGACCTAGTATTTACTAACTTTATCTGCTAACTTGTTTAGAACAGTAACTAGTTACATAATCAATGCTATTAGAAATGTTAGTTGCTGCTACTGACATTACTGACATTTCTCCTTCTTCAACCTCTGCCTCCCCTAATCCTGGAAGGGCCAGAAACCATAGTCAGCAAATGGGGAAGAGTAAAAGGACAGAGTAGGGTAAGAGAGGGAAAGAAAAAGGAAGCAAACCAAACCCTAGTTTTCCACTGCAGGCCTATAGTAGGCTGAGGTGGTAAAGGAGGGAAACCTTTAACTCCAAGTTTATTAGTTCTTGAAAAGATTGTATTTCCTGAAAATGATATGAAGGACACTCAGGACACTCAGAATAAACTTAATGGGCAGAAGACAAATAAAATGGATTATGAGAATCTCCCGCAAGTCATGCTTATTCATATATATGGTATAAATTTTAATATAGCTGGAGGTATAGGATGAGAGGAAGATGAAAATTAGACTGGGAGGCCCGGCGCAGTGGTTCACGCCTGTAAACCTAGCACTCTGGGAGGCCGAGGCGGATTGCTTGAGGTCAGGAGTTGAAAACCAGCCTGAGCAAGAGCGAGATCCCATCTCTACTATAAATAGAAAGAAATTAATTGGCCAACTAATATATATAGAAAAAATTAGCTGGGCATGGTGGTGCATGCCTGTAGTCCCAGCTACTCGGGAGGCTGAGGCAGCAGGATTGCTTGAGCCCCTGAGTTTGAGGTTGCTGTGAGCTAGGCTGACGCCACGGCATGGGGAAGGGGAAGGGGAAGGGGAAGGGAAGGGAAGAGAAGAGGAAAGGGAAGAGGAAAGGCTGGTCTCCAACTCCTGAGTTCAAACAAACCTCCTGCCTCGGCCTACCAGAGTACTAGGATTACAGGTGTGAGCTACTGCACCTAGAGATACAGTTTTGAAAGACAAAAAGAGTTCTGGAGATGGGTGGTGGTGATGGTTGCATAACAACATGAATGTACTTCATGCCACTGAACTGTACAGTTCATGATGGTCACGGAAAAAGAAAAGCAATGGCCTAGGCTTCGGCCTTAACAAGCTAGAAAAAGAGCAAAGTAAAATCAAAATAAATAGAAGGAAATAAAGCACAGACATAAATGAAAGGAAACAGACATATCGTAGAAAAAAATTAAAGCCAAAACTGGTTCTCTGAAAAAATAAGCAAAATTGATAAACCTTTGCTAGACAGATTAAGAAAAAAGAGGAGAAAAAAATGAGGGCGGGGGCAGCAGAAGGAAAGCCCGGGAAAGAGATGGATAGAATAACCAGGATAGTAGCATATTTCAGAAACCAAGGGTGTATGTAGGGTATTTCAAGGAGTGATGATTGACAGTGTCAAATGCTACTGATTGGCCAAATAATATATAAACCAAAGTCTATTTTATTTAGCTACAAAGGAGTCAGTGATGACCTTATAATAGCACATAAGGGAAAAGTAGAAGAGTTAGAAGACTTGACATAGACAAAGATAAAAAATACAAATAAATGAAGAAATAGAAACTGTGAGTACAGACAATTCAATCAGAAGTAGTTTGGTTCTACAGACAGAACGAGGGGGTTAGGTGGAGGGAAATAATGGGTCCAGAGAAGATACTGATATTTTTATAGAATGGAGAAACTAGAAAATATAGTTTTTCTCCTCTTTCCCCTCCAGATATGTGTATTTTTTATTGTGGTAAAATATAAAGAGAATGTTTTGATGATTTTTGGAAAAGATTCAGAGAAGAGGCAAAATTAAAGATACAGGAAACAGGTCATAATGATGTCTAAGGTCTCTGGATAGGCAGAAGGAAATGAAATTCACAATATGGGAAAGGATTAGCCTTAAACAGAAGACCTAGCAATTGGGAGCTGGGGGAGCAAGGTACAGGAAAGGGTATAGCTACAGTTAAGTTTACTGCTGGGGTACTGGGAGAAGTAGCGAGTTCTTATCTGGCTTTATTTCTCTTCCAAGTCATAAGTAGAGGTAGACTGCTGAAAAAGGAGGAGACAAAGTAAAATTTTGAGGAAAATGAAATATGAAAAATAATGTGGAGAAAAAAACAAAACAGAAGGATGCCTAGGAGGTACTGAAGACCTAATTACTTTGAACTACTTTTTGTTAAAATAGCAATTAGTTAATATTTACACAATATTTAATATGTGCCAAACATTGCTCTAAGTACTTTTTACATATTAAATAATTTAATTTCCACACAACCTCTTGAGATAGGTATCACTTGGTATTTTCATTTCACCAGTGAGGAAATGAAGCAGCGAAATTAAGGAATCAGCCCACGGCCATGCAATCTAGTAAGTAACAGAGTCAAGTTCTGAACCCAGGAAGCATGCTAATTTGTGCTCCTTACACTATGCCATACTGCCTCTCAAAGTAAAGCTAAGCAAACCTAGTTGAAAAAAGTAGAAAGATATCTCCAGACATTGCCAAACGAACAAAAAACAAAATAAAAAAGAAAGTAGAAACAAATAAGGAAAAAACAGTATTAGGTGGGGCAAAAAATGAGAAGCAGTGGTTCCTGTAAATAACAATTATCTGAGAAGTATGGTTTGTAAGTTAAGGTACCAAAGATAAAACTATCCTCACACAGCAATGGAAAGCCACAACAAGGAGATTAGCAGTGAGAAAATTCAAAGCAAAAGGAAAAAAAGGAAACAGCCAAAGAAAAAGTAAAAACCTCACATAGTCAAAACGTAAAAAGGAGAAAAAGCTAAAAGTAGAAGAAAGAAAACACACACTCCCATAAATACCACCAGTAAAAGAGAAAAATGAAATGGAAGCAAAACAAGAATGTCTAAGTCCCTGGAAAGTCTTATTCTTTATTTTGTTTGGGCTAAAGAATACCCAAATGTTGTTAATCAAAGAGCACAAACATTTAATATAGTAATAGGAACTAAAATAAAATCTTAAGCACCCCAGATGGCTAAGTGGACACCCTCTCTTGGCAAGGGGACCACAGAAAAACCTTAAAGCTGAGTTGTGGGCCATGGTAAGAGAGGTCACACACACCTAGTTATTTATTCCCCATGCCTTTTGGAGTTATTCTTTGTAACAAGATACAAAATCATTAAGAGGCCTAAGGCCACGTAAGGCAAAAGTTAAACCACACCTGCAGGTCATCCATTTACTCAATAGATCACTTGAGTCTCAGATACCATGGCTTTTCTTTGCTTAACAGACTTCCTCTTACATTAACTTAGAATATTCCAACCCTCTAGACCAGGTTTCATTTCTTTAACCAATTGAAAATCATAGAATCTTTAAACCTACCTATGACCTATAAGCCAACTTCAAGAAATTCTGCCTTTCTGGGCCAAACCAATGTATGCCTTCTACGTATTGATTTATG